ATATAATACATATAAATATATAAATATTGGTATGATTAGCCGCTTTAATTAAAATTGATTACGGGTTATGATAAAATTTATCCGTGTTGTAATATTTTTATTATTTTTTTTTTTTTGAAATTTTTATTAAATGTGAATGATCTATCACAAACATTTCCAACGTTAGATGCGTAAAAGAGATGATCATCTGCCAAACTGCCAAGTATTCAAAAAAGAACGAGGATCCTAACTTTAATCGACTATTAATAAACAAAGTTTGCATGTCTATTTTTGGTACGTTATTCGTGAAAAAATAATTAATAAAGATTAATAATTCATTTATTGGTACAAATATGCATAAGAATTTTAATAAATTGAAAATGGTATCATTAATGGTTAGACTTAACATCATTAATCTAAGACTAGAAATCACAGAATCTTCTTTGAATTAACACAAACAATATTTTAATAATTATACATTATCAAAAAAGATTGATTTATAATACGAGAAAGAATCAAAAAAAAAAAAAAAAATTTATTTGTTTGTTCACACAATAAAATTTCATGCTTGTATAAATTTAGTAATAAAATTTCGCAATTTAAACACCGTAAAAATATATATATTAATAAATCCGTAGTAAACTTTAAAAAATTACCAAGAAATCTTGGCTGAATTGTTTTTTTTTCTTTGTAATGAATATTTTAGATATTCTTTTAATAATTCCATACTTTTTTCATACTTTTCATACTTTCATACTTTCATAAGTTTCATGCATCGGATTTTCCGAGCTGTAAGTGACCGTAGTAAAATCATAAATATTAATTAATTATGCATCAATTTTTTTGTAAAAAAGTCATTATTAATATTACTAAATTAAGGTTTATGGATTCATACGTAAGCAGGTAATGATAATAATAGTTATCATTCCGATGTTATCCGTTATTATTCGATCACATTCGGTCACGTAGAGTACGTAAAAGTATAAGACATATAAATAGTATAAATAGCTACGCGTCCCTGCGTTTATTTTTATTTTTAATTTTTTTTATTGATTCACATGACACTTCTTCAAACCCTCATTTTAATATATTATACTGTTTATAATTAATTACCAAAAAATATTATTTCATTTTTATATTGTACTTTTTCCTTTTATCATTCTTTAAAGAAAGAAAAAAAATAAATAAATAATAATTAATAATGATGTATTTTTGACGTTCTTGTTCCCTTTTTTCTTTACTGCGGTAAATTCGAAAAATCTTTTTTTCTAAGATAAGCAAAAAAATCGGTTAAATTGATTCCCGATGCATCGTCAATTTTTTTTCCTACTCCGGTAGTACGAATTTTTCTAAAAATATTTTAAACCAGTATAAGATTTCACATGTGCATATAGAACATTATCATGGAACAAGTTTACTAATAATAGTTAGTTATAATAAATAAACTTTATAATAGTTTAAATTAATTTCTTTGTCGCAAACCAAACTCCGATTCGGATCAAATTTAACCGACGTTTTAATTTATTGTTTTGTCGTGTAACTTGGTAATGACATTGTCAAATATTTTCCCATATTTTTCCCATAGTTGGTTTATCATAAAGCGAATGCAAAAAATGACTCAAATTTGGTTATAAATCAAAAATGTTTATCATCTCTTCGGCTTATCCGCATAAAAATTCAACAAAAATAAAAATCTTTTTTTTTTTTTCAAATGATATGACATCAATG